CATGGTCACTGCCAGATGAGGGATTTGGGCAGACGTGCGCCCCCAGCCAGGGGAGCTGCTCCTGTGACGGATGCCACGGTGAAGCGCATCCTTCACATCACTACTCCTGCAATTGCGTATCTCCTGCCTGGAGGACCTGCTACGTCCTGCACGACATCTGTGTAGCTCTGGGGGTCAAGCAGGATGGTGCCTGAATGGTGCTAGTGCAGCAAGCGAGGCCTTTCCCTCCTCTAGGGCTGGGGCCACCCGGCGAAACCTCAGCCAGGCAGGGCTGGGTGGTCGAACACCAGAGGCTCTTGGTGCCCTGGGACTCATGGACACCCATCGTCTGGCTGTCCCCTCTCAGCTAACCACACTGCCCCTTTAAAAAGCAAACAAATTTTCACCTCCAGAGCCTCCTGACAACATGGCGGGTCCTCCCGATGCCCACCGACCAGGGCCATCACCAGCATGCGAACGAGTGGCGGGGCCGACGTCCAGCAGGGACACACGTCTTGAGACCCTGCCTGTGGCTCTGACAAACCCTTGGCCTCACACAAGCTCCAGTACAGCAAAGGAAAAAACAAGGGCAAAAAATATCCATGGTAATTTAGTATCAAAGGATTGTGTTCGTAGCCTTTCTTTTGGGGGAAAAAATCCAACATTTATAAAGCCGGGAAAAAAAGACAAAGGATCAAGCTTGTGTTGATATGAAAGAGGGATTCAGTTGAGAATAGACTTTAAGGGAATTTTATTTATGAAATATCTACTGGGTGGGCATTTATGACCTTTAGAAAATGGATTAAAGCTTTTCTATGCCCAGCTTCAGGCTGCGTGAATTATTAAAGCAACAAAATCATGAATTTACAGTACTTTTGCAAAGCAGACCACGTTGCAAGCGAGCTTTCTTTGGAAGGGTCAGTGAGAAGCCATCCTCAGGGAGCAGGGCCCCCTCAGCAGCCTCCTGAGCAGCGAAGGCCACCCCATGCCCCGGCCCAAGGAGGCGGCCAGCCGGGGAAGGCGGACACCTCCGCCCACCCCCCCCCAGCCGTCATGCTCCCCACCCGCCCCACCGTGCTGAGGACTGCCGTCCCTCACGGCTGCCTCTCACCCCGTCCTCCGCGGTGGTTCCTGCCCGATCCCCAGCCGCAGCCGCGCATGCCTCCCGTCTCCGCGCCGCGTGCACCAGTAGGCCGGGGGGTTGTCTGGGGTCTGTGTTCTCCAGGCCCTCACTGTACAGCCTGCCAGGTATAAAAACCCCTTTACTACCAAATGCGTTCCCCCGAACCTTTGCAGGTCCCAATAAAAATTCATAAATTATTCAAAATAAAAAGAAAAAGAAGAAAAATGAAAGCAACGCCCCCCAGGCCCCTGTGGGCTGCCTGCACGGGCCCACCCACCCTGAGACGTAGTTGCTCTCTCTGGAAGATTTCATTTCACGTTGCTGCTCATTCTAGCCCTCATCCCCTGGTTTAATCCCCTATTTCCAGCAGCAGACAAAGACATAAATCCATGCTGAGGAACTTCAGATATGTTTTTATTTCTTCACAGCAGTAAAGTGAAAATAATGAACTCCCATAACCCTATCCAGTTCTATATCCCTCGGAAAAGGTGGCAGTGGCTGATTCGAGGGAGATTTGAGAGGGAAGCCCAGGTGGGAGGAGGAATACAGGGGCAAACACTCCCTCGGCTGCCTCCCTGTTCGAACAGACAAAAAGCTTTAAGCCATGAGAGGTCAATTTTTAAGAAGGGAGACATCAGGATACCTGCAATGCAACCAATGCCTTATGAGATTTCCAGGTCTCATCATGTCTCTCGTGAAGCGTAATGAAACTTGCAGCGTGTTTCCCATTAAAACAGGGGGTCACAAATTGCATCACATTCTGGAAATCCTCTCCTGGCTACTGCTCCTTGGGTAACAGCAATGGACCAGCTAAAACCTGAGCAACTGTTGCTGCTCAAGAAAGGAGCCTGTGCCACAGGAGAAACATAACGCTCCTATTAAAATACTGAAAATCAAATAATCTTACCTCTAATACGTATGGAAAATATTACACATTTGCGAATTTGAGTAAACATGGAATTGAGCATGACCTTCATTTGATTAACAGTTTCTTAAAGATGATTAAACCCATCTCTAGGAAACAGAAATTGGCAGGTTTTTGCAGATATGCCAGAGCCACAGCTCAGTGGCTCTCCAGTCTCTTCAAAAGTGATTTCTGAGTTCCTTTTACCTTCATTAGGTATGGTTACTGTACCGAGGACCACAAGTCTGTCCTGAGAGGTGCACAAAATAAGAGTGGAAAGCAAATGCCTTGCCCAAAGCTACCCAGCAGGTTGCTGCCTCCTAGGTCCCATCACTATGAGATCACACGGCGTCATAGATTTCACAGGTCACTCATTGCACACTGAGGGCCCACACCCCATTTTGAGATGGACGGGACACTGGCTCCTAAATACCTTCCTGTATGTGGGCAGATAAGTGCTTAAATCAACCAAAGCAACTAAATTACTCATAAATTTCAAATAAGAGTTTTCAGGTAGGTAGTTCTACATTTTCTGTAATTAAATGCGAGCTGTAAATGACTCTGTAAATGTAAAAGACTTTTCTCAGTATCAAAGGAAATTTAGCATATTGACATAATTATCCAGAAAGATGACAGATGAATCATTTCAGCATTTTGTTGAAAGTGTATATACAATTCCGATGCCTGATAGACTGCTACGTGCTAGACTTAACCTTTCGTTAACATAAACAGAAAAGGAAGCAGCTATGAGGAGCAGCTCTCTTCAAAGCCAAAAAGGTCCTGCCCTGGGACAAGAATCTTTTTTCTCCTTTTCATGTTCTGAGCAGAATTAATTTTCCAGCACCAAGTGCTGCTGCTCAACAGAATAAAACCTCTTTTCTCTGGAAAGTTTACATTTGGAAGTATGAGTCTTCTCCTATGAGCTTGAAAAAAATGTTAGCTGCTATTTTTTAGTAAGATTTTGAGCTAGGTTTTGGTCTTTGACGCTGAGCAGGAGTCATAAGACCCTGAGAGTTCCCGTTCTTGCCAGGAACATCTGGGGAGACTTTCCTCTGCTATTTGCTTTACCTTCACAGTGCTACCCTAAGGAAGGACCTGAGCTTGTATTTAATCATTCTCCATCATCTGATATAACCTCAGAAATCTGACACAGCTCTGCTGCCAGCTTTCACCTCTTCTTGCTCAAGAGACATGGCTGCAAATATGGGTGACTACTTAAAACCACCCTCTCCCTGACTTGCCCACTACTCAGCATTACATTTTCCTAAGCCCTGATCCCATGCAGACTTACAACAAAGCCAGGCGGGAATTCACGTGGGTAGATTGTGCCCCAAGCATGCCAGAACAGTGTAATAGATACCTCAGCATTCGTGAGTTAACTGAGACTGCGACAAAACCTCTTCATTAGCAAGCAGTGCTAATGACAGCGCTATGACTAATAGCGTCCATTCTCTTGACTCTAAGAAGAGCTGGACTCTACCGCATCAAGACTGCGGTTGGATTTTGTACTGCTACTCTTTCTCAAGACTGAAGCTACTTAATACATTTTAAATATTTAAAAAGAGATTTTCAGTAATCGGTAAAAATTTGGGCTCTTCTGCCCAAACAGGTCTCAGATCTCCTGAGAAATTTCTGCTTTTGCAAAGTTTCCAAGCATCCGAACAAAGTTTCTGAGCATCGAATGCAGCAGGTCAGGCTGCTCACATGGCCATCGCCCAGTGTGACATTGCCTCGTTAGGGCTGTAACGGGCAGAGCGAAAAAGCAAAGGACAGTATGGTTCATCTCCTGGGCCAGATTCAGATTTTCTTACCCTCGCAGTATGAGCTTTTGATCAAAGTAAGGTGGGAGAAACCGGCCAAGATGACCAGAGCAGAAAGAAATGAGAGAAGATACGGCTTTCCTCTGATCACTTAGCTTGTCTTCAGTTTATTTTAGCAGTGTGTGGAGACACGGAGGCGCTTGCGCCATCCTCTGAACTAGTCTCTGCTATTTCACAAGTTCAATATTGCACATTTTTGCACAATTTCAAAGGCCCATTTCCCTGCCCCGCCTTAACACCCAGTCCTGGCACAAAGCCTCACACCACGCGACCGTCACGTGACTAGATTACGACAACCAAATTCAGCAATTTTCATGAATCATCACCAAGGTTATCACTCCTACAGCTCCCGTCCATCAGGTGCAGACGTCTCAGCTAAACAGAGGGGCACAAATACTGTTGGGGCACAGTAAAATGCAGGTGACAAAATAACTACAGAACAGTACCAATGCAATGAATTCTCGTGCATGTGCAAGGACAAACACACATGCACGCACACATACACACCTTACTTCATGCTTGCAGTGCAAACAAATGGTGTCAAATGCCACGACAGAAGCAGCAAAAAGTTATCTACACAGGGACTGAGTGAGAGTCAGTGAAAAAGGGAATGAAAAAGGAATAAAACTAGGAAATCAACCAGTAACTGATTTCCAGAGCTATCCAGCTTTTTGATCATCACCTCCCACCTTCTCCCACATGCTTGGCAAAAAAAACTTGTTAAAAATAAACAACAAAAACTCTTCAGCATAACTCATTTCTGAGTGGGAAAACAGCCCAGAGCTTCAGAGAACCCTCTTGAGCACATCGTGCCAGCTCAGTCAATCACCCAGAACAACTTCCAACACCTTCCTGACTTACTGTCCCCTCTCACAACCTGTAAACTCTCTCAGGAAACAGAAAACATAATGAATATTTGCCACGAAATGGTCACAATTGTGGTAGTAGTTTAAAATACACCTGTTTCACCAAGATGCCAAGAATTAAAGCAATACCAAATGGCAACAAGGTATTTTCCTGAACACATTTTTCCTCTGTTTACTTAGCAGCCATCATCCGACAATAAAAATAGCCTATTTCAGCACCGTTACTGTTTCAATAAACCATAAGTACATGACGACAGGCACCTGATAAAACATAACATGCAAACTCAAGACCAAGCCTTCAAGCCTACCTTGCCAAAGCTTCCCTTCCCAATCGCCCGGAGGATCTGGAAGTGGTCGAAGTTCACTACAAGGTAAAGAAAAAAGAATTTAAATTTTTAAATGCTTTACTGCAAAGATCTTATATTTAAAAAGAAGACAAGGAGACAACTAAAGAGCATTGGTCAAGCTTTCATTAAAAGTCACTGCCTCCCAGGGAAGATGCAGGGCAGCAGTTGTTTTTCTTTCAACAGTCTCTTTTTGCCTGCTTTAAGTAACTAGCAAACAGGTTGAATTAGGTTACTAAATAAGTGGTTTAGCACCAGCTAAAATACAACTTCGACCTGTGTCAATACAAGAGTCATCTCACAGAGATGCCGTAAGAGTGTAAGCAAACTCAGAGCGCGGCAGAGTGGAGAATGCCGGTGAGCCGCATGCCCCAGGCCACGGGCGGCCGCTGCTCTCCACATGCCTGGCTCCATATTGCTTGTTCCATATTCAACAGCCAGTTGGTCTGGTATTTGTGCTTTCCAAAGGACAACATTTAGAAGACAGCGACTGACTTCCACTCTCTTCATGTGCAAACCCATCTGTACCAGATCTGTTATTTTTTCCAGAGCCAGTGAGGAGTAATGACAAGAAAGGACAGTATAGCTATAACTGCTTTGATCAGCAGCCACTGCAAACAAAATTATTTTTTCTAAACTATTGCTGTGATCTAATCTAATATCAGTCTTAAATAAATAAAAAAGATAGGTCTGTTTATACTAATAATGAGATAATCCCCATTGCCACATAGTTGGAGTGCCTCACAGACAAACAAATAAATACTGTCACAAAAGCCAATGTAAAGGACACAGCATTACTCCCATTTCACAAATTGCCTCTTTATACCTCAGTTCCTTAATGTCCTCACAGCTCAGTAAGCTGCAGGGCTGCAAACGAAGCCCATGGTGCGCACAGACCCTGCACATAAGTGCTGGCTGCCACACAAACACATGCTTTAACTCTTGGTCAGCCCTGAAGTGGTCTGGCAGTTGGACTAGATGACCATTGTAGGTCCCTTCCAGCTGAATTATTCTGTTCTATTCTAAGCCCAGTGTGCTCTCGAAGCGGCTGGACGTGTTTAGGAGGAGCTTACCAGTGGACTGAGCTGCACCCTGCTCAGGTCCACACGTCAGCCCTTGACATTTCTACCTTGAGACCCTGATTGTGCAAAGGGACCCTCAACACTTCCTCCCTAGAAAGCTCTGAAGGCTGGACAAAAAGAAATGCTTGGCATGGGCTTGGGGATTTGCAGCGTGAATGATGCATGAGGTGGTCAACAGAGTGCACTGAACCCGTGTTTGACTGACAGTGGAGACCAAAATCACACAGGAAGAGTGGGAGCAAAGAATTCACTATAAATACTCCGAGTCCCACTCCCAGATCTTAAATAAATGCACATCTGTCATCTCTGAGGATGAATCAAAAGCCCACGCATGCCCGTGGAGTTCCTATTACCCTTTTGTGCTAGGCTTATATCCAAAATATTGTTATTGTCACTTTTGTGGGACATTTTCTGCAGGAGAACTTGGAAAACTTTGCCAAATGAAATTGAAAACAGAGTCTGGGCCAGCTTCTACCACGTATCTCCCCCCCACTCCATAAGCAACGCTGAAGGGCAGATGCACTGTCTCCTCCCTTGGGATGCTCCAGGAGACTCCATGGAAGACCACATGGGGAAACCAGTGACGCCCCATCCTTCTGACGGCCTCCCACGCCTCCGGAGGAAAGGCTCAGCTACATGGGTGGTGTCTCATCTCCTTATCACTCCCCTTCTCCGTGGGTGAACAACTTTCTTTTAGCAGGACTTGATGGGTCTTGGACTGAGAAGCCATGAGGCACTGGAAGGATGTGGGTAACGCCTGGAGCCAGTGACCAGTTCATCTGAGACGCTGCAGGAGCTGCAAACTGGTCACCTGCTCCCTCTCGTCTGACAAAACCCAGCCCTGGAAGGAGCAATCTGCAGCCACAGGCAGCATTTTAGTGAGGTTTTTCCTACCACCCCTATCAGAAACTGTAGTGAGTAATATATAACTGCAGCTACATCTTGTTCATAAATATTCTTTCTGAAATCCAAAACATTAACACATACAATGCTGAAGCATTTGGGGCAACGGATCCAATTTTTTTCACATGCAAGACCATCCATTAATTGAACTTCAGTCACTAAGAAATACTCAAAGAGGAAATCCAGCTACAGAGAGCACCTTTAAAGCACAGCATTTTCTTGGCAATTAAACCATGGCAAGTGCTCATGATCTTGATCACTCCAGGAGGACAGTTTTTGACAATTCTTTATTACAATGTTTGGAATGTTGTGTAAAAAATCATTGCCGCTGAGAAAACAAAACCAAGTGTCATTTCCATGTATCCATGACTACAACTGATCTAGAAAGCATACTCCAGTCAGCAGTCAAGAAACAAATCTAGATACAAATATTCACCAGGCCCTTGAACCTATCAGCAAAGATGTCACTTTTAATAAATTAAATACACAGTTCTGCTGATTTGAAGTTCAAATGATGTTAGATGAACAGGCACTGACTGTTTTTTCAGTTTCATTATTTTCTTCAGGAATTAGTAAGCAATCCTGTTAAAGAAAAAGCAAATCTCAACATTTGAGGAAGAAAATCATAGTAGCAGCATGTTGCTTTTTGTGCGCAATACACTCGCTTTTTACAAATGATAACATATCACTACAGAATATGTGATTATCCCTAAAATAGAAGTCCTGAATCTGCCTGGAACAATTACGTATGCTCCAGAGACTCCACTTTCTGTGAGCTGACAAAAGAAAGCTGTCTTTCACCAGCAACTAGAAGAGCTGATTATTTGGGGGTGACTGGTACGACCCTGAGTCATAGATGCCAGTGGAGGATTTCATGACATACCTCCCAGACAGCAGGAGATGACAGCTGTTGCCTATTCACAGGACCATACTCACCCACTACTTTGACTTAAGCGTGGCACAGTTTTGACAGTCACAATCTGTAAGTACAGAAATGGTTTTGGCTTGAGGTTGAACCGGAGGAACCCATGAGAGGGGAAGAGGGACCTGAAAACCTGGGATGCTTTAGGAAGCATTTCTTTACCAAGAGGGTGTTCAAACACTGGAACAGGCTTCCTAGGGAGGTGGTTGATGCCCCAAGCCTGTCAGTGTTTAAGAGGCATTCGGACAATGCCCTTAATGACATGCTTTAGCTTCTGGTCAGCCCTGAATTGCTCAGGCAGTTGGACTAGATGATTGTTGTAGGTCCCTTCCAACTGAAGTAGTCTATTCTATTCTATTCTATTCTATTCTATTCTATTCTATTCTATTCTATTCTAAAACGATCTGCAATGTACAAATGCGAGGGAGTGTGGCACTGCGGTGCCAGGATGCTGACTTGGTCGCACCACAGTCCAATGCCATCTGTTGTGTTGAAATGCCCCAATGGGTATTTTGTTAGCTCCTCATGAAAACACTACGCCAATTATTCCTATTGACTCCTCTAACAGTTCGTTATCAATATAGCACCTTCACACGTAAGTGGAACTGCTGGACATGAGACGTTTGTATTTGCCACGAGAGAGACATGCCTCTTCCTGACTCTCCCTGGCATCAAGTGACAAACCATGAATCACAAATAAAGATAAATACCATGACCTGGATTTGCTTAGTTCAGCGTGGTTTTGTTCTCAGTCTCCAGTAACACATGAAAAGCAGGATGGCAGGGTTTCACACGCCTGTTGGACCTCACCAAACCTCACGCAGCCCAGTCCAGCCCACTTCACAAGAGAGTGCCAGGTGCTGCATTGACATCTCTATAATTAAGACTTCATTGTAGTCACAAAATGTACTGTGTGATAAAGCAGACTGGATGCACAGCTTTTATTTTCCAGTGAAATAAACAGAATAAAGAATGTTTCTCTGCAAAAATTCTTTATACAGAAGGACAAGTATGCCTCAATGTAAGATGCAAAAAAATGAAGGTTTTTTCTTTACTATGTTAAAATTAGGAATGTTTTCATTGTTTTTGCTGTTTATTCTGCATTTATTTACCATATATCTAGAAGTATGGCAAGATAAATCTACCATAAAACTTCAGATTCACAGTGGACACCCTGTGAGGGTTCAACATCAGGACCTGGTATTAATGTCCAATAGTAGGAAAACAATGGATGCAGTTAGTAAACCCGGTATCCAATATCCTCAAATCTGGGGAAACAGAAAATTAAAAATCACATTTTAAGGATCAAGTCACCTTTTCACTATTTATCTGCATGTTTTCCAGCTTCATCAATAAAAACAGGGAAGTTTTAACTCCAAGAATGATTCTCTACAGTGCTAAAGACCTAAGAAATTCTTTTTTGAGTCTTGTAACAGCAAATTTGTAGGGCTAGTATGGCATGATCAACTTTCTCTTTCTATCAATGTATTTCTATACGTTGGCATAATTAATAGCATTTGTCTATCTATTATATTACTGCAATCTAGCTTTGGAAGAAAGCACCACGGTAATTGATGTAGAAACATCAGTATGCGGCCACAGTAACCACAAGCTTGCTGCCACAAAATGCCAAGAGTTTCAGCTCACAGAAGAGAGAGTTACAGCTTAGACTTAAAAGTCATCACACACATCGATTCCAGCCAGAAAGGAAAGGCCACATCTGCAAACCACGAGGCAGTGGATGGACAGAGAGGGCAGCCAGCCAGGCCGTGCCAGGAGGGGGACAGCCTGTGGGGAACATGGGGCACAGGGGCACTGCAACAGGGGAAAATGGTCATGAAAGTCAGCGGATGATGAAAAGGAACCACAGCAGGATTAAGAGATGTCGGGATTAGTAGCAGCTTTTAGGGTGGTGGGGAGAGCCTGAGCAAGGGGATCGGGCAGATCAGGGAAGTACTGCAAAGAGCGTGTAAGGGAAATGTAGGCATCACTGCAAATGGAAACCCCAGAAAATTTCCAAAGAAGCGGTGAGCCTGCTAAAAACAGTGGGGGAGAGAGAGAGAGGCAGGACAACAGGAAGGACAGGGAGGACTCGGTATGGAAAGCTTTCAAATTGGAGGATGAACCTGAGTGAATTGGGAAAATCGGGAAGATCGGGGAGATCAAAACTGAGATTTGTGATTAGAGATGAGGTAAAGCAACATGGGGGAAAAAGCAGAGGTATTTGACGGAGAGAGGGAGCAAAAGTCAATGGGGAATGCTATCAGCAGTCCTCCCCAAGCCTGAAACCCTTTGAACGCAAAGCATCCATTTTTCTCTAACTAACTGGAAGGCTCCATACAGCGAAAGAAACCACTGCTTTCCTTTCTATCACTGGGAAAAGTACAAGCAATATGTTTGGTCTCCAACATCTCAGGCTGATCTGGTTTGCCTATTCATATCCACAGAGAAGATTACATGGGTGAGAAAAATGGAAATACAGTATAATGTGACTGACAGGAAACTCAAGTGAGCATTAACTACCCAGGAATTCAGGGAATGCGGGTAGATAATGAAAGAAATTAAAGGTATAATACAAGCCCAGTACTATAAATGAACCCCTTTAGAAACTAACG